ACGTTATTCTCAGCTACAGTTTTTTAAAGCTCTTAAACTTTATCTGAATTTGCTTGTGTGTTATAATATATGGTAGCCCAACCGCCCCAACCGATACTATAAAATGTGACATGATTATTAAATTTTTATAATTTTGTATTTAATTTGTAAAGTAAATGTTGTATGTTTATGTTCTATTCCTGAGATCTTAATAATCTTCAAACCATTTGGCAAAAACGTCACACAATGTATAGAACTATTTGTCTTTTTTTACTAGGTTTTGATAACATATATTCATTGTTGGGAATATTATTAGCTTATTTAATAAAGTTCCCATGTTCACAAAAGAAATGCACTAACATCAAGAATTTTAGGATTCCTAAATGAGAAAACTAGACATGTCAGACTATTGTAGAACCCAATTACAGATATACCATTCTATTAATTATTATTTATTTAAAACATAATTTAAACTGTATAAGTATGTTTTGTGTTTATGTCTTATATTTATTACTTAGATAATCAAATATAATAAAATGAAACTATATTATATAAACAGAAAACAATAATATTTATATATTTTCAAATTATTTTAAAGAATTGTGATCTTTGATATATTATTAATTATATGGTACAATGATTTAGTTTTGAAATGTTATACTATCGCTTAATTATGAAGGTTATTCTGTTATGTATTACTACTGTATAACAGTGTTATGAATTATAAGTTATTTAAAATTAAATGTTAGTCTTATGTTCCATATTTTCTCTGTTTTCTGTAGCTGACCCTATTATCTATATAAATGATGTAAATTCATCGTTATCATAATTACATTTTTTTAATTTTTACTTATTCTTACATATTATTATATATATTTTTTTTTTTACAGAAATCTGATTCTGAATCACGCATAGGTGTTATTCCCAATCCATCAAGTAATGATGAACATATAATCAAAATAAATAAAATAGTTTTTGAAGCTTTTAAACAGGAAGATAAATTGAATATATTAGTCAAACATTTATCACAAGCAATTAATGTTAATAAAAATCATATTGAAGTCATAAATTCACTACCAGTAAGAATTCTTTGACTAAAGTAATATAAAACATTAATATTTAATTTAATTTAATTTTTGATAGGAAGAGATACATTTTGATGTGTCAAAAATAGATATACAATTATTTAGAAACTTTGCTTTTGAAGCATTGAATTTTGAAAGTGGACAATGCGGTGTTATCACTAATGGACGTATTTTGGGCCCATTTGATGATGATGAAGATTTTTTAACTGATGATTTTGCTTTATTAGAACAACATACTCTAAAGGGCAGTGTAAACAAAATTCTTAATATACTCAAAGAATCAGGTATGTTACAACTTAAAAACTTATGAATTACTTGAAGTATTAACTTTTAAACTGTTCTGGTGTTAATAAGTTTAAAGGTAATATAGTTATTTGTTGAATTAAGACTTGATATTTGATGTACCAAAGTAAACGCGTCTTTTTAATTGAATTTAAATAACATTATATTTTTTATAGATGTAATGGATATTACAAGTGATATGATAATGAAAGCCAGTGCCTTAATTAGTAGTCGTTCTCAAACTAAAAATCGACATTCTATACCTGATGTGAAAAATAAACACAGGTAAAGTATAATATTTATGACATTTTATAGCTTTATTGCAATACAGTATAACACTATGACCCTTACTTAGTATTCATATAAAATGACAATTGTTTAATATTTTTTTTTTTTATGAAGTGTTATTAAATTAACTGCTAACAATGAAGATGAACCAGTTTTTGAAATCAATGTTATTGTTGACCCTGTGTCTAGAGGTGCTCAAAAGGTTGGATCTATTATTTCTGTATTATCGCGAGTACTCAATGCTAATATAAATGTATATTTTAATTGTGTTGATAAGAATAGTGATATGCCTGTTAAAAGGTAAGAAATAAAATATAATGTCCTAATATCTTTAATTAAATGTTTTTATTGCATTTGTTTTTATATATTTAAAATTTCAGTTTTTATCGTTTTGTGCTTGAGCCTGAAGTTATTTTTGATAAATCTGGCCATTTGTCCCCTGATCCAATAGCAAAGTTTTCTAATATGCCCACTAGTCCATTATTAACACAAATACTTCATGTACCTGATAATTGGTTAGTTGAATCTATTGAATCTCCATACGATCTTGACAACATTCGACTTGAAGATGTTGAAATGGGTGTTTATAGGTATGTATAATTAATCATAAATTACATTTTTTGTATATGGTAAACTAACATTTAAATTTTTTTATTATTCTAATTAAATTAGTCGTTATGAATTGGAATATCTGCTGCTCGAGGGTCATTGTTATGATTCAGTCAACATGAATCCACCCCGGGGTCTCCAAATGACACTAGGAACAAAGTCAAATCCAGTAGTAGTAGATACAATAGTTATGGCCAACTTGGGTTATTTCCAAATGAAAGCTAACCCAGGGGCTTGGATGTTACGACTTCGTCAAGGCCCTTCAGCTGATATTTATGACATTATTTCTCATGAGGGATCAGACCGTTCTCCTAACAGTATGGATATCAAAGTACTGATTAGTTCATTCCGTTCTCACATAATTAAAGTCAAAGTTGCCAAAAAACCTGGCAAACAGAGTTTAAACGTCTTGGGCGATGATGATGCTGAAAACAAAGGTCTTTGGAATTCAATTACCAGGTGAATAAAAATAAAAATTAAACTTTACATATGGAGGTGAGTGAATGTAGCTTGTCATTTGTGTCAGCCATCACTCATCATATTCTGAGACTAGTATTTATAGTTTTTATAATTGAGATTAACTTTTGATGAACTCTTATGTTTAAAATTAAATATATATGATTGCCAATTTGTTTGTAAGATGAATTAAAGAAGAAAAAAGGAAACTTAATCGTTTACAAACCAAAAACATACTTTTCCATTTAAACTATAAAGTTAATTTTTGCGGAAATGCTAATCTTTTTAGCTAAATATGTCATTGGGCAATTAAGGTTTCAATTAGTTCTAATATATTATAGTCTTAAATATTATTATATTATTTATTATCTTTCACAGTTCTTTCAGCTCAGGTTCACCTGATAAATCAACTGACGAAACCATCAACATATTTTCTGTGGCTTCAGGCCACTTATATGAAAGATTTTTAAGAATAATGATGTTGAGTGTGTTAAAAAATACTAAATCTCCAGTAAAATTCTGGTTTTTAAAAAATTATCTTTCTCCAACTGTTAAGGTATTTTATTTAATGAGTTTATAATTAGTGTGATTAATGATTATTATTGGTGTATTTATTTTTTTGTTTTAGAACTTTCTTCCTATTATGGCTCAAGAATACAAATTCGAATATGAACTAGTTGAATATAAATGGCCTCGTTGGCTACATCAACAAACAGAAAAACAGAGAACTATATGGGGTTATAAAATATTGTTTTTGGATGTTCTTTTTCCATTGGATGTTAAAAAAATTATATTTGTTGATGCTGATCAAGTAGTCCGAGCTGATATGAAGGAATTAGTTGACTTAGATTTAGGTGGTGCACCATATGCATATACTCCATTTTGTGAAAGCCGTAAAGAAATGGATGGCTTCAGGTAATTTTTGTTTAAAAATAATGTTAAATTTTATTTAAAAATGTGATGTTGTTTAAAGATTTTGGAAACAAGGCTACTGGAAAACTCATCTTCAAGGTCGTCGTTATCATATTAGTGCGTTGTACGTAGTAGATTTGAAACGCTTTAGAAAAGTAGCAGCTGGTGATAGATTAAGAGGTCAATACCAAGCTCTTAGTCAAGATCCAAACAGTTTATCAAATTTAGATCAGGTAAGATAAAAAAATAATTATAAAATAAAATATGGTAGCTTAATTGTTATATTTTTAAAGGATTTGCCAAATAACATGATTCACCAAGTCTCTATTAAAAGTTTACCACAAGAATGGCTTTGGTGTGAAACATGGTGTGATGATGCATCCAAAAAATCAGCCAAAACTATTGACCTTGTAAGTATTAATCTTTTAGTAAATCTTATTTTTATAAATTTGAAACTTATTTTGAATACATTGATTTTTATTAAAATGATAGTGTAATAATCCATTAACTAAAGAAGCAAAGTTGACTGCAGCTATGAGAATTGTTAGCGAATGGAAAGATTATGATAATGAAATTAAAAGATTGCAAATTAGACAAAGTGAACATGAAGATGAAGTTTTCAATGTCGAAACTCAATCAAAAGGTAATTGCCCTTGTAAATGTACAAAGATTAATCACAAATGCATACTGCTATCTGTCTAATATATAAGTAATCTAAGATAGTGACTGATATTTGTCTGGTTAGGTCAGACCACTTTTCTTGATAAATCAGTTTTCATTGTCAGCTTTTGTTTCCGACGATTGGTCGCTGTTGAAAAGTTTCTTTACAATCTTAAGAAGACACCCTACCTGCATGTTATGAGTTTCTAAGACAAAGACAACACATGCTGGTATAGTGTCCTCTTAATCTTATCAAAGAAAGGCAAAGTAAACTAGGTAGTTGATGTATTAATGAAGTGATGCGCAGCATTTGACACACATTAGCCGCAACTGTGTGTAAAGCCTGCACACAAAGTTACTTTTATATGGGAAAGAGATGACAATTGTAACATTTTTACAATGTTCAATGAATTTATTTAATCTTTATTAAAACATATTTTTTCTTATTTTAGAATCAGAAGTACACACAGAATTATAATGGATTTATATTTGAAAACTGTTACATACAATTCAAATGATCTCCAGTTTTATTATGATAATATGTCTATTTATTTTGTATCTATTGAAACCAACGATTTGCTGTTCCATCAATTTTAAAACGTTGGATACTTAAATTTTTGATTATATAATTTGTTTAGGAATGATAAATTAAAAAATAAAGAAGTTACATTTATTTTAATTGTAAAAAAACTTTTTCCATTTTTATTTATTTTGTTTATTTACCAAATGGTTATAAAAAACACATAAAATATTCTTTCACAATATAAAATTTCAAATTTTTATGAATTATTACAATTAATTACAGATTTGCCTCTTTACTAGGCTAGTACAGTTTTGACAATTCACATAACAGCACCAATGGTATTTGCATTGACAGCGTTCAGTCTGTTCAATAATTTGTGTAGTGTAGCCTCGACCACAGCACATGGCAAGACAATTTTCAGTACCAACTGTTGTGGAGTTACACTTTCTAAGGTAGAAAAAAACATATTAATAAAATACTAAGTATATTAAGTAAAATATGCTTATAAATCTATAACATTCACACCTGCCGACTGTTCCATAACTGCCTGCTCTCTGGTCATAATTACAATAATCTGAGGATTCGGTAATATAAACCAATGAACTGTCTGTGTGTTTTGGAAGACCAAATCGAATGACTTGGACCATTTCCACTTTCAACGGTGTTTTATTGTACAATTTCAGCAATTTGATGCCCACCCCAATGAATTTGTTCGGCAGACCCCTCCAACACGTTTTCACGTTACATGATCCCGACATGCCGTGACACTTGCAATGGGTTTTCACACTTGACATGACCACCTGAAAAACAAAAAAAAATAAATAACAGAAGTTGTTGATACATGATCCCCTTGCCAAACGGATCGCTGCCGCTCCTAAATTCTTCTGCAGGTTCTCGTCCGCCGTGAGCGTTCGTATTGTTCCTATACACTCACGGTTCATTATGCACAATTAACATTTGTTCATAGGATACGAAACAGTTACTGTCGTTTTTTTATTTTCAATCTTATTTTACCAACATTATTAGTTGGTACAAAAATGGTTGGCATAAGTCAAAATTCTATGCCATTATTTCGCTCAGAATGGGATATAAACTATATCGACGTCCGATAAAACAGACATATAGGTTCAAGATACGCCTAATATATGGGCTAGCCCAATGGTTTCATCATAATTCACTAGTTTTCAATATTTCTATAACTAGTATACCTAATTACTTAATTTGAAATGCTATTTGTAGTTTTTGAGCTAATTTTCGTTCGATACAAAATAACAAATAGTTTACAATGAAACGAATTATCTATAGATTGATAAAGCTCAAAATCTTATGGTTGTAATAATTTATGACATAAATAGGTACCAATTTATCCCAATTGGGATAGGCCACTTAGATTCAAGTACCTTCTCAACTATCAATTTGCCGAACGTATATATATTACGTATGTGGGATAACAATTCGATATACATATCTTCTGTTACGTATCTTTTGTTAATCTTAAAAACGTGGAGAGTTTGGCACATCCTACAAATAAGTGGTTGATCGTAGTTGAATGGTAAGACGATGATTTCGATCGGTATAAAATAAAAGTGAACTGAATAAGATCCCAGCCGCGATTAATGTGCATTATGTATAAAATACTGCATAGCTGTCCCGCCGAAGTTGTCTGGGACAAACATTTGTATTTTTAGTAAGTATATTTATAAAAAAATGTTAATTCCATTTTTGTTATAAATTGTTATAATAGTAATTCAGTAATATGTAACCAATTGCTACAATTTAGATAAACAAAATAGATTTTTATGTTTTTGTAAGCTGTAAAAAAATCATGTGTGAGCAACCTTTTAGCTACCTAACTATAGGAGTTGAAAAATAAGCTATTAACACCATTTAAGCTTCAAGTAATCTATTGATCTACATTTTATTGAAAAGGGTCCAGTAATTTTTCGCCGCTATTAACTTCGGATAAACAAACATCGAATTTTAGTTGTATACCCCGACTTTGCCACCAAAAAAATACACAATATAGACAGTATAGGGGTATCTTGGTTTTGTTGTACCTCAGCGCACAAATTTGAGTCAGATTTGTTTTTCTATAATATCAGTAGAAAAAAATGTTTCCAATGCAATAATATGTACCCAAACGTATTACTCGTGTATTATGCATAAAATATATTGCATAAACGTACAATACATTATTAGAGCATACATGGCGATCTGCTTTTGAAGTGAGTTTAATAAGAACATACATTTATTTTACCACAATGCCTTACAAACAAATTGGCGCTACTCGGGAGTGGATTCTGAAAGGGGGGCTCTTGAGTCTCTGGTACCTTATGCCGTCCAAGTGCCAAGTCCCCGATTAAGGTGGATATACATATATACATGTATCCACCTTTCTGCCGATAAAATACGTTTGTATTATAAATAACGTAATCTAAAATTGATCTAAACAGAACTTATAGGTACTACTAGACGTCTAGACAAACAATGAATGTATGGAGTGTAACAACATGGAGGGCGCTTTTTAATTACTCAATTACTCGTATGCATGGTAGTGCGGGGTAGTTGGGTAAGATGTATAGATTATTGTATTTTTTCGTCAAGACAGCCTACCTATCACAGCGAGATGTTGTTACGCCGCTCGTAATGCTGTTGTTATACACACTACACAGTTCTTGTCTAATAGTATAAGGTATATGGATCTATAACCTTTTTGGGCACCCGCCAACCCCTATTAACATTTTCTGGATCCACGCTTGGCGCCACTACCTAGGTATAAGTAGGTAACAAGTCAACCAGATACCTAGGTATACACCAATACCGCATATAGTTTCATGTACACGTACCAACTAAGTAGTAAGTACTTAGTATATATAGCGTCTTACTTTTCGGCCTATTTTGTAATTGTGTTCGTCGACTATGGACATGGCTCTCTGTTCACGCAGTACCGCATCTTCGTTGGCGTTGGCCGACAAGTCGTCGACATCGTCGTCGTCGTCGCCGCTGTATTCGCCCGACGACATCGCCGCCGATGGGTTTCCGTTCTTCACGAACTGTCTGGCGAACTTGGCACCCCACCGGACATTGTCGTCGCACCCGCTCCACTTGAACGTGCCGTCCGTGTCTTCCGGGTGAGTTCCGCAACCGCAGCTCGGCAACATTCCGGAAGCGCAGTCCCTGGTCATTGTGTATGTCAGCGCTGCTGAGCTGAGCGCGTACGCGAACGATTGTTCTTTCGTGCCTGCAGCAATGTATTACATTATAATATCACCTGAATATATGACGATACCCGTGGGCGTCTCCGGACACGTTTTTTTTTTTTGGGGGGGGGGGGGTAAAGGTAATTTAAAATGGACATAGCCGATAATATTATTATGTTTGGGCAAATTACAAACGGATTGAAAATTCCAGCGAGGGAAAATGCCCCGTCTTATTGCTATCCTCTGGGGACGAGTCTACACCAAGTAATTCAACTGTATTATATATAGGCACGCAATATTAAATTATTGTTTAGTGTTGATCATTCGTGAGACGTTTGCCGGAATAAGTATACAAGTATATTATATGTACCTACCTACCTGTTTATGGACTGAAATAGTTTACCCCAACATTATAGGGGATTAATCGTTCCGTCGGATCTGCATCCCTCTGGGCGTCGTCTCACAGATCCGGCAATGATTTTTTACGATAAGGAATCGAATAAAATAATATTATTGCCAGGTATAACTCATAACTTATAACTTATAAGTACTCAAAACATTTCACTGCTATATTTATATTATTAATATAATAATGATGGCTCGTTTTGTAACATTAATACATCCATTGGTTACCCATATGTATTTTGGTAATTGGAAGTTACCCCCCTTCCCGTACCTATCCATCATGCAGATTTTAGAGGTACTAGACGTATTCCTCCTGGACTAAAAAATTTCCTCCCAGAATGATGTTCAAAATGTTTAAATATTAACTAAATCATTTTTACATTTATTGATTTGCTTTATATATTATTGTTTAGTATTTTTACTTTTAATTTTTTTGCCTTGGAGGAATTTGTCCAGTTTGGGAGAGAGGAAATGGCACAAGGGGAAACATCCTAGATTTATGTATTTCAAATTATTTTCAAAATTACTTTGAAATACTATACAATTTTGTATAGGAGTCATTTAATTACAATCATAATATTGTAAAGTTATAATATTGTATTTCTGTAAGTTAAAGTAGGCACGCATCAGGGCCCAGAGGCGTTCTGAGGGGGGGGGGGGTTAAAGTGTCATTTTCCCATTCTCACCCCTTAAGCTTATTTTTGTCATATAAAATATAATACGACAAAGCGATATTGTCATTTCATGTATATATGGAATGTGGTCTGAGAATAGTTAAAAATTCATATTTCCCCGCCCCCTTTCATAAAAGCTGAGCACGCCACTGGTACTCATACAGTTCTGATTGTCATATAATTATTCCCATGTGATGTAAAGCTGTATTTAGGAATATTTAATTGGGTGGCGGAGGGGTGATGAATAATTTTCCAATATAGGAAAGCCGAGAAATTTTACAACATCCCCCGTCTTATGTCGTCTGTTGTTGTAAATTGATTGTATAATTTTGTGTGTATAATGCACAAGGTATTAGACGTATATAGTGGGAAGGATTTAAATAAGGGAGGGGGTTAAACCAGGTCCCCTCCACCGTCCCCCACAGTTACACCTCCGCTAGTGTGCCGTTTGTAATAAATACACTGCAGATAATATCTATATTAGTATTATAATATGTTTATTATATAATATATATATATATATATATACAGAGAGAGAGAGTTCATAATATACTTCAAACGAGTATATATTATATATAACCTATTAATCCCGCTCGGTATGCACCTATAGGATATGACAACTGTCGTCGACATGTATACAACTTATCACGTTTGTCCGTGAAAAAGATGTATGAGTTTGAATCAGAAATAAAATGTGATGTTCGAACGCGCCTATACATACGCCTCACGCATATAATTAAAATATTTATACACATAATATATATATATTATATTCGGACATGGAGCCTACATACAGGATGTAAAAAAACTTACAAATGTAATTAATAACTATATATAATATGTATATCGTATAGGTAATAATTAATAATCATAAGGTCGAATAATTTTTTGTTAAATATTATTATTATACGAACATACCTAAAAATTTAACTAGAAAAAAATTTGTTTTAAAAACTGATTGGTACGACAGATATTATTGGGTACACATGGTTATAGTTAATTACATTTGTAAGTTGTTTCTGACTTCTGTTACACCCTGTACACGTTGTATGGTGTTTCAAGCTATTATGATAATGTGTCGGGGAATACGTCGGGAGCGCTTAAAAAAAAAAATAACAAAAATATAACAAATAAACTAGTTTTTCAACCTTTGACCAGCTCCGGCGTGAGTCCCGGCGCGGACCGCACCGACGAACAGTTCCACCGTCTGTTTTGCAAGACCGACTGACAGGCGACCACGGCCAACGCGGCGGCCCGGGAAACGTGCTGCATGACTGGACGCCAAGACTTGCAAATGCGGGCTTGACGCGAGTCCAGTCCGTAGGTTTTGCGCAACGTCCGGCAGACGCCCACGTCGTTCCAGTCCACTTTGCCGGCCGCTTTCTGCATGCCCCTGCAGCGAACGCACGTTGTAATAAAATAATAATAACACAATTATTATATTCCAATTTATTATATTACCGTAAAGTATAGCCTAATAAGTCTATAATAATATACTCTAGTCCTGGGATAGCAAATCCAAGGCACGCGAAAAAATAAAAAATATTTATAATATTATATAAAAATATTATTTTTATTTTTAATAAAAAATAACATAACAATGCGTGTATTAATATATACAGATAAAATTGAATAATCGGTATTGGACGATAAATAGCCGTATGTTCATAATATGAACCTCAGTTGTAACCATTTTTATTATTTAATGGCACGCTCGAAAAAAAAAGGAAATCTTTGGCACATAGCGTCAAAATTATTTGCCACCGGGTCTAGTCAATATTATACCATGGTAGATGTGAATATAAAGATTCGAGGTATGAATAGTATAAAATTAATCTTAATATTTTTAAACATCGTTTCGAATATAATATTATAAAATATATATTAAAGTTTTATAGTCCCCAGGAATGAAGTTTTCGAATTACAACAAAATATTAAAAATTGTCATTCATTTTTTAAATATCTAATTTCGTTATCTCTATATTGTCCTTTTTTTTAAAAACATTTTCAGCTACAAAATAAATTGTAATATATTATGTTCGTTATTTTGATGAATTTCGTCAACATTTTAGCTTCAAATGCTTATAAAATATTGAAATATGTAACTTTAATATTTTTAAATAGTTTTAATAAAAACTTATGATGATCTTTTTATTACATTTTCAAGCTTTTCGACAGAGAGAAAATTTTTTATCGATATTTATTCAAAAAAAAATATTAAAATGTCTATATAGTATACATAACTAGTTTGAAAAGAGCCAAACATTTTCGAAAGTTAAACCATACATAGAAAATGCTAATTTAAACATTTAGTATTTAGAGGGGTAAACACTTAGGGTGCCCACGGTTATTCGTTTTTCTAATTATAACAAAATTAGAAAATAGATTTTGTCAAAACCTATAGCTATGCGTAAGAATTCTGTTTTTTCCAGGTTTTCTAACTTTTTTTAGTGTATTCCAATTATTATAACATATTTCTGGGAATTTTTGATTTTGACCTCCCAAAAGTACCAAATAGATTAATTTTCCTAGCAGAAAAGATATTGAAGTTGAAAATCAAAACATTTTTCTTCTATTCATATAATACATCTTATACACATATGACATATCACACACAAAAAAGGAAACACTCGATATCTTATTACCATTGTAAAATGAATACATCCATAGCTGGAAATCTAAAATATTGAGTATTTTTATTTTTATTTTCGTTCTAATATTTGAATAAAATGTAAAAAAGTTTAGGTTTAAGTGTATAAATGGCTAAAAAAATTCACGAGGTCTGTGGGGGCCCTCGGTTCCTCTAAATCAGTGTTTCTTAACCTTTTTGATATCACGGAACACCATCAAATATATTGTTTTTATGCGGAACCCCTGTGAAAATTATCTTTAAAAAAGTATAAATGATAGATAATGTAGATAAAGTGCTTTCGCGGAACACAGGTTAAGAACCCTGCTCTAAATAGTCTGTAAAGCCTAAACTAAATCATTTTTTTGAATAGTGTTTGTGATTTTGGAAAAAAAATTATTTTAGAATTCTTAAAAATTAAACGAACATAACAGATTAGAGTAGTCAGTTGTAAGGATTTTCCATTATATATTTTTGTATTTGGCGCTTTTCATTTAAAAATATTGTTTATTGTACACATTTGTCATTTATGCGGCAAGGACGGAGAGTGCCGACTGGTGTAGACAAAGTAATAAAAAATATTTCAACAATTTTATTTAGAAGCTACCCGTTTTATAGAAGAGAGATCTTATGTATTTTGCTCAGTAGATTTTCTGTAAAAGAGGTATATATAGCTAAAAAAATACTATTTTTATATTATTAAATATTATTATTTTCAAATTTAACATAATCATATCACAGCATACACAACTAACTTGCGACAATATGATCAAAACGAGATGGTAATATCCATGACTTTTTAAATGTTGTATACGAATACCTAATATTATATTATAATCATTCTCCGCCTATTTATCGCGTTTCATTAGATTTGCTACGCCACCGAGTTTGAAACGAGTTAATTTCGTGCCACGTGCCAAGCTTGAACTACCTATAGCCTATAGGTACTTATCGGAAATCTTCAAATATATACCATGAAGTATGCACATTATACGTAATAATATGTTTATTTGTATGCCTAAAGTATGTATATAGATTATAGATATATTACGCATAGAGTGTACTAATGTCCCACCTCGTCGCAATATATTATATTTTATAGGTACTCGTCGATAATTTTACTAATCAATATTTTTTAAAACTATTATTACCAGAATTTATATAATAGATGGCCACAATTACAATTTTTTATTTTAAACTAAAATACAAGCCGTGAAGCATAGGATAACATAATACATGTATACGCCATAACTATTAAAACATGAACTAGAAGTCTTGAACTACAGAGTCTGAATACAATTTGGGACCTATTGAAACTAGATTAAACTACACCCATAACTCAAAATAATTCATAAATAAACTGGTATGCCACTTTATAATTTGTATCTAAAATATTTGAATACCTATCTTATTTTGACTCAAAATAATAGATTAGGTATATGTAGACAAATTCTCTCATAGTCTCATAATATATGTATTTAGTCTTACATCTATTAACCTGCAAAGAGGTGCAATTGGCGTAGGGTGGTGACCCTGGTAAAAGAAACTTCAAGGCCAGAGAAAAATCTTTAATAACACAAACTTTTCTTCAAAAAAATATAGTTTATACAATTTTTTATCATTATTTTTTTTTCGAAGGAGAATATTATAATAAATTTAATTTTATATTTCGAAGTTAAATAATTTCCTGAGTTTTCCGATTCATAAAAATCAAAAGTTTGAAATAGTTGATAGTTATTTAGTTCCGAGTATTTAAAGTTTAGTTGAGCTGAGTACCTAGTGGACAAACATCTTTCGGGGGTTTATGTCGTTTAGAATGGTCATTATAATAATGCAATTTCAACCAACGGTAAACTATATACTACTTTTATTAATATGCTAATGATATTATGTTAATCTGATCTTGGTTAAAACAAGGGACTAAGAATTTAATAAGATATTTTTTTGATAGTCTTTGGCTAGAACACGTGATTTAGTGTCCAATGCTGAATATTGTATTATGTTATGCTATTTACGTTCAAGTTTCCAATGCTAAATAGTTTAGTACAATCTTATATTTTTCCAGGGTCATTGTTTAGGGAGAAGAGGCTGAACCCCCTTAACCTCCCTTTGGGTAAGCCACTACTAAAATATGTACATTGAAAGTACATATAAGTACTAAGGAAATGTTTTGGACACCAGCACACAAGTATAATGTATATATATAGGAATGGATTAAAATTACGAACAAAACCTGTCAAATCGTTAAAATTTCACGATCAGAATCAGTTGATCGTCTTATTTTCTCGTTCGGTTTAAACGATTTAAAAGAGTTAAATGTTTTGAACTATATATGTTTTTATTTTTATAATACCTATATGTAATATGTATATTTATTTTATTGTTGGATATTAACATTTCGTTCGCGTGTCTTGATGATTATCTTTTTAAAAAACGTTGGTATGTACCAATGTCCAATGCATAAACCGCGTATGTCGATCGATTTTAAGTATGTATACTAAATATAAATTATAATAATATAATATGTATGATCAAATTTAAACAATTTCGAAATTTATAATAGTTTCCTTGAATCATATGTTTTGCTAACGGTTACAGCTGAACTTGTATAATATAAATCGTCCCCGTTAAATGCACTTTCGTAATCATTAATCATTTTATGTTATGGTAATTGGTAGTTATAGGTATATAGTCACACATCAGTACATCACACTAGAATACTAGACCGATACGATCTCGTACCTTTATAGGTAGGTACTCGTGTATATATACAAGACATATTTTTTTTCATTTGATCAGCCTTTAACTAAATAACCTGTAGGTATACCTATAATATATGTGTATAAAATATCAGGACAAACTGGTCGGAATTTCAAGTACCAAGCGCGTGGTATCCTATAAGATGAAAATGAAATGTTATATTACATGGCAAGACTACATGGTTTGGAATAATGGACTGTAATTAGAGTAAGTCACGATGTGGTATTCAGATCACATTCCATATCTAAATGTATATTTATTTCTCCCGAGTGTAGCGTCATGCGAGAAGTTGCTGGTAGGTAGGTACTAAGGTACCTATTTGTCAGAATTACAACCAAATATGATTAGAGGTTTGAACTATAACTATAATAATATTAACTATACAGCTGCAGGTATGTCAAATTGCATTGAAACGTATTAACTGGGCCAAATATATATTGAATAATTTACTATATGCTGGCAGCACATAGCAATTTATCGAAAAAAAACATTTTATACACATTTAAAATTTTATTTTTACGAATACTTTACCTACTATACAATAATTATTCGATTACAGTGTATTAGAGGATAAACGACAGAAAAGTAACAGTGGATACTTTACACTAACATAGTTGTGCCACGAAAGGAAAATTTTATAATTTTTTTTTTCAATTAATTATCCATTAATAGCTAGCTGTGGACCATAAAAAAAACACGGACTGCGTGTTTGACATTCCTTCTATACATCAACACCACGTCGCCACACACGTCATATGCGCATCAATATGCCTATGATGTGTTAGATCCGTAATAATATGTCTATATAAGACTGAAGCCTGCATAAAATGTATAAAATATGAGTGACTAGAGATCTACTTAACGACCGCCAAACCGGTCCAAGTCCGCGGGACGATTGAATAATATATATATTAGGACGTATGTGTAATAACCTATATCTGTATATATTGTTGTACGTAAACGAGAGGTGCCCACCATCATGCACAATAACATAAAAAAACCCC